AAGTGGGGGTGCTCACCACAGACTCAGCAATAGCATTTCAAGAGAAGGAAGTGGGGCGGGTCACCACAGGAAGTGAAGATAATTGGGGGTCAAACAAAGCCCCTGCTGCGTTGGAACCAGTAGTGACGCAGCCCGGCCTTGGCATCACCAAAACCACCATCACCACCATCACTCAGACTGGAGGGGACTGGAGCACTGGCCTGCTTGATGTCTGCAGAGACAAGACAACATGTAATGTAGACACACAGCCAGATACTGTATTCCTATGTAAGCCCAGGCCTCTCATCCACAAGACAGTAAGCAAATGTGACATTTCCTTTTAACCCTAAATAATTTAGATTACTTTATAAACACAATAATATAAAAAAAAACACAAATATTGATTGTTCTAAATAATAATGCCGAATGAAGGCCATGACAGGTTCAACTCATATTAGATTTTTGTCTAGCTTTTGGTAAAAAAAACCCTGATACACAAAAACAGCAACTCAGCTCATAAAAATATGGAACAATCTAAAAGTAACGGCCATGCTGTCCAAAGAGACCATTAAAAGGGAGACGCTATAAGGTCACAGAACTTGATGGTCACACCTCATATAAGAGCTCTTCTTTAACAGCAGCTCCTCCACCTTTTGAACTTTAACTTCTTGAACTGTAAGACCATCCTTGGGTTGCTATGGTAATATAAGCTGAAAATAAAGGCCCGATCGACATAATTCCCAGCCCTCTGCCCCACTGCAATAAACTTACACTTTCTGCATTAACTCATTTGAGGAGGCTCTCCAGAGGTATGCTGTTGCCCTTCTACATAGACCTCCCTTAATGACATGCTTTCAGTTGGACAGAGGGCTGGGAATTATGGTGACCAAGCCTTTATTTTCTGTTTTTATTCCCATAGCAACAGAAGTTTAATGCAGTATAGGGTGGTACATTGCCCTGCATGAAAATATATATATATATATATTTTTTTTAATATCGTGGCTGTAAATGGTCTGTAATACATAAAATATTTCACAGAGGTCACTTTGACACCCTCAGAGATCCTAAGGGGCTTTACTGTTTCACGTTGCATTATTCCAGCTCAGATCATCACTTAGCCTCTGCTGCTGATGGTGCAGTCTCGTTGGAACTAGGTGACCATTCACCAGCTATCCAGAACTCCATTCAGCTAAACCATCAGATGTACCATAGCATACAATTCATATATGAAAAAAAAAGGTTTGAAACTTAGTCTTAGTTTAGAGCCAAGTGCAAATAATTTCAAATAGCAGCAGTTTCAGATATCCATTTACTACCTTTTTCTTCTTCCAGCGGTGCTTTGCATTCTGCGTTATGTCAATATATTGAGATATAGTTAATACTATAATTATAATATTAATATTAATGAACATTACCCATTTATTTTATAGTTCAGTTGCATCATTTCAGTTTTAACAAACTTTTAATAACTCATCTCTTGCAAAAACAATTTAGTATTTAAGCATTTTTTATCACAAGATTATTTATTTTCAGCACACCTGCTTTAAGTAGCTTTTCTTTTAATTAAGATTACGTAGATTTTTCTAAACTGAAAATGATTGGGAATATTTTGCTTTTCACTTAACTTGTTTCTACAAAATGAAGAGCCAATACATCATCATTGTCTCTTTCTAAATGTACTTTTGGATCTGACAGAGACATATAAGAAGGATTTTGTCTGGCGTAAACAAACACTCATGTACCCACATGATGTGCTGCGTTGTGCTCGCAGGTATTCTCGGGGCTCTCGTGCCGTGCTGTTTAGACCTGAGTTTAGCTCACCAATACGGGGAGTGTCTGTGCATGCCTCTACTACCAGGATCCACTTTTGCCATTCGAGTTGGGATCAGAGAGCGCTACAAGATACGGGTGAGTGTGTGTCTATGTGTGTGCAGGTATGCAGTATGCTGTACTGTTGTGAGAGCGTCCTTGAAGACAGAGGAAGGCAAATTTGTCAAAATGGACCCTGTTCATAACACCGTAATGTTTCCAATGAAACAGAAACTGCACCACCGCACTCAGTTTTTAGTGCTGTGATGTTTCAGCCATTTTTAAAACTCCAACTCTAGTAAATGGAAAATCGACCCTTGTGCTGCTTCTTTCTAAATGGTTATCAGTAAAATATTCATGTTATTTGTGTAAATGAAGTTCTGTGTTTGCATTTTTCATCTTATCGTGTACCCATCCTGCTCCCACTGCATTGTTGTTGTGTGTGTGTGCTTCTGTATGTGTTTGCATGTAGACATGCACTCATCTGTCCTGCATGCTTATCCACAGGGAAGTGTGTGTGAGGACTGGACTACAGTGTATTGCTGTTACCCTCTGGCTGTATGTCAGATGATAAGAGAAATGAAGTGGAGGATGAAGACTCAGACATATCATGTGTCTACTACACTCGAATGCTCCTAAAGAAACAGCAAATGAGATCTTTTTTTCTTTTTTTCAATTTATCATAAATGTGTGAAGAGCAGCAGAGATTACTGGTATGAACAATAGGATGAATCATTACTCTGAGGTTTGAACTTGCCCCTGAGGGCTTCTTGAATAATAAAAAACAAGCCTGTGATACAAATTCTTAAAAGTGATAGAAAAGGGAAAACTTAAAGTAATGGCATACACTGTGTTAAAGGTACATCTGTAAGACATGAACCAACACAGATGAGTTTCTTGCCTTTGTTCAATTGCAGATATTTTTAAATGTAGTTAGTTCAAAGATTGTTAAAAGCCATTAAATCTGGATTAATGCATATAGAATAATGCAGAGCAGTTTTTTTATGAAGGTATTGGTCCGATTAATTATATTTGAAAGATCAGCTTAACCAACTTTTTACTGCAGCATTAAATTCCGGCACTTATAATTCTTAAATCATCTATAATTTTGGTTTTAGAAACAGCCTGGGTTAACTTCTGTGACTGAGGTATCTGCGCGCCATTTTACATAATGAAAATTTAGAAAGACTCAAGTAAGTTTAGCTTTTTACAATGCCTGTTACCTACACCACTGAAGCCGCTATCACACAGACACTTTTAACACATCAATAACTAGAACACACACAGAAACAAGATGAGCTCCTTACAGTTAAAAAAAAGGATGTGTGATTGCATTAGGAATTTGTACTTAATATTGGGAAACTTTAATAATGGAGAACAACAAAACACATCAAAACAAACTAAAACACACATTCATTAAAAAAAAAAAACTAAATATATTCTTTCTGTTTTCGTAATCTCTTGTCAAAATATGCAGTTTTACTTTTTAATTTTTTTTATATATGTAAGGGAATTTTACTGTTTACTGGTGTTGGTGCTAAGTACCAGCCCTGCACAGGTTGGCACATAACAGGCTGATTTTTTTTTTCTTTTTGATAATGTAATGTTTCCTCATGCGGCCATTCTGTTAGTGCATAATCATGCCTGTCTAAACTGAAAGATGATTTTATCCAAGATTAATATAATGTTTGTAATCAATACATTCATTGACTATAGTAATATATTCTTACATGTAACCAGTCTAGACTTTTAAACATTGTTCCAGTGGTTGTTCTACTCACAACAAAGCTTAACACTGTCTGCTATGTTTTGTACCTTTTGCAATTTCTTGATGTTTTAAACCTTATTGCTGGGCAATAATGAGATGAAAGCACAGACTCCATATAAAAGATATGTTTGAACATGAAGTCACCCTCTGGTGAGTGCAGAAAAATTGTGAAGCTTCAAACTGAGTGTTTTTTTTTTTTTTGTGCTTCTTTTACTGTCTGGGTGTTTTGAAACCAGATATGACTGATGGTTGATGCAAGTATGTAAAATGCAATTTTACTGCATTTTTTAAAGAAGAAAAGTCACAGTATAACTTAAAAAAAAGATGAAAGGGTGTTATATATAGATCAATAGAATGACAAAAAGCAGACTTGCTGGTTATCAGTAGTGTCCACTGATCCAGTGGGAGTGAGTGGTACAACCAGGATGTAAAAGCTCACTAATCTGAACATAAGGAGTTGTGAAAGTATTCACCAAAGTCTCGCAGGAACACTGGACCATTGCTCGGACAAAGAAATAATTACTTTCAATAACAGAGGTGTGATGGAATTAAAGCATGATCATTTCCACATCAGATGAAACACAATGCAAGAAAGCTGGGCAATGCTCTGCAGATGATAAAAACAGTATCATACAAGACAACCATCATGTTTTATCAAACCTGAACACCTAATCAAATGTAACACCCAGACCTCTGAGGGAGGGGAAACCTCAGGATCAGATGGGTCAAGGATTGTCATTCACTATGGGAACCTAACTGTTTGTCTGTTTGTTTGCATATTTAGTGGCATAGAGTTAGGTGGCTCTGACTAAGAACCTTAAGAATACTGCAAGCTTACTGACCAGCAACTTGCCATTTAAAAAGTAAAGCTCGCCTTGCTTTGTCCTCCTTTTTGAAATGTTTATTTGCATTTCAGAGCAAAACCCCCATCAGCAACCCATCAGGAGTTGCCCCCTGCTTCATTCATAGTTTTCACATGACATCAAAGCTACTGGGACACCACGACATTAATGTGACAAATTAATACTACTGGAATTTTCTGGCCCTACAGTGTAAGTGTCAAAATAAACAAAACATTAGATCTTGTTCTTTACCTCCCACATGGAGCCATTATTTACCCATCCAGATCGAAAAAACATGTAGCTGTCTGTACTTTGAAAGCTTTCTTTGTCGCAGCAGTGTAAGGTGAGTGATTCTTTTCAAGATACACTTAGATGTCACTGAACTGGAGCTCTGAGAGAGACATCCCACTTTCAGGGATTCAAATAAAGCTGCCGGGCAAAATATGGATCACAAGCGCCAAAATTCCTAGTTTCTCTTGATATCTTAATATTTCCTCCATGGATAGATGGTACAAGTATTCTTGGCTTGATACAGGCAAAAAAAGCCCCCAAAAACACTTTTGTCCCGCAGTACTACCAACTGTCCACTATTGGCCAGCATGATGGAGTAATGTTTTGCCCTCCAGGGTAGCGAGCACTACATTGGCTTTAATTTTTTACCATATCCATTTTTCATATACAGTCTATGTAGGAGAGCAGTCTAATTCTCACTCAATACATTTATACACATATATTTAATATATGAATATATTTAAAGTTCAATTCTTTGTAATATAATGCTTTGAAGTCATGTGTTTCAAGCTTCTTGTTTTAAACACATTCCGAACCAATTTATTATTCTGTATTACTTCAACTGCTTGATTGCACCTCTAAATTTAAAGCCAAATTCAAATCACTGACACTGAGCCACATATATATTAAATACTGGCTGCAGTCGGGTTATCATTTATAAAAATAGGATACAACAGGAGGCACGATGTCTTTCCAAAAGCAATGTCCCTCGTGTTTTGGATATTAGATGTAGCTCACTGATAACAGTTCATTATTTTTTAGCTTGAAGGTTGTTATAAATTAAGTAACTGTGAAATCTCGTATGTGATATGTGTGACTCACCCGGTTAATTGTGTCTAGAATGCCAAAGGTCACCAGACCCATTAATGTGATCAGTCCCCCTGAGATGTGAAGGAAAGATGAAGTGAGGAAACATAATGCTTCCCAGACCTTGAGGCACAAACTGTGCAATGAGCAGAGGACCCTATCTGCAAATCTCATTTTAATGTCCCATTTAAAACTAAATCCAAGTAAAGCCAGGGAAGAACAGAAAGCTGTAAGCCAATTAAGTCTGACCCAAGGAGTCATTTGGTTACTTAAGTAAACATAATTGCTTTGAAGAGTTTGAAAAATATATTTCCGTGTACAGGATGAAACAAGTGTGTGAGTCCAATTGATAAACACAGCCAACTGCCTCATTAACTGACATACTGACTACTGACTACTGACTGAATAATACCACTGAGTAGTCCTGCTTACAGTCAGTTGTTGAAGTATATCATGAATATTTTGGTCCTCATGTGTAACGCAATGTAAAGCGAAACCAAAGACACGAACTCAAACAGACATTTCAAAAAACACATTTCACTTTAGAGAACAAGTCTAGACAAAATGTCTCTTTTGTGATCATTTGTGTTTGGACTATCCTATTTGACAGTTTAAAATAATCTCCTGCTTCTAAATTGCTTTATGCAGCGTCCTTGAGTGAAATTTAAAAGAAAAAGAGTTTTCAGAAGTCATAATTCTTTGAAACTTGCTTCTGCAGTATGAACATATACCAAGAATTACATCACAGTATTAATAAATGTCGTTTGTTGAAATATTCCTTTATGATTCTAGTATTTCATTGGGTTGCATTTTAAAAGTTCTTTTAGCTCAGCCAGGTTTCAAACTGAGTAAAATCACCTGGAAGTATCTAAAGTTATTGAAAACTGGTCAAATTATTTAAAAGAACAGATTCAAATGCTTTGTTTCTTAACCTCCCTGAGCTTGGTTTTGCTTAAGGTTTCTTCCTGTTATAAAGGAGTTTTTCCGTCCCACTGTTGCAAAGTGCTTGCTCATAGGGGTTTTTTCTCTGTATTATTGTACCGTCTTTACCTTGCAATATAAAACACCTTGAGGTGACTGTTGTTGTGATTTGGCGCTATAAAAATGAAACTGAACTGAACTGAATTAAATTGCTCAAAATAAATAATGCCATTCATACACATACACAATGTTCTTTTAATTCTCAACATCAACTTCAGGTTCTGTCCAGTCACAAAGAGGAAAAGTGCAATGTTGTTGCTTTTGTGGTTTTCTTGTATCCTTTTCCTTATAGTTGGGCTCTGTCTGGGGATGTTGTGTTTTCTGTTCCGTAGTTGTGAAATGTTGATATTTTTCGCACCTCTGGGCCGCTAATGGAATGTGATTTCCATATTGTTGTTATTCTTTTATCCATGTATTCCTCGATTCCTCCTCTGGCATTCAATCATATTATTAATCTAGTCTGATTGCAGTGGCTCCCTGAACCTGAAATGCCAACCAGAAAGAAGGGATATGAAAATTTATTTATCCGCCACACAGATGGGTCCTCAAAGGGCAAATTTGTTAAGGCTTTCCGATGTGGTCTCCCACCTGGCAGCAGCCTCGAAGGAAATAGGAGAATAGAGAAACTGATTTGCTTTCTAAAGGGAGCGATGTGAATATTAAAATGTAATCATATATTACACAAAGTCCAATTCCCATTTCAATAAGTTAATTTGCTGAATGTAAATACATTTTCTTATATCACTGCTATTCTTAAGCAGCCACGTCTTTCTTTTTGGATTGTATTTTGTGCATTTTTAATGTTTTCCCAATCCTTCTCCTTAACCAACACTTAATTAATCACTATTAGACTAAGAGTGGAATAGTGCCTGTTACATAGAAGATTTGCACATTCATTTTAAAGCAGGAACAAATAGATTAAACACAATGATGTGCAAGCATTTTCTGCCAATAATTGCTGCATATAAAACAAAACAAAACCTTGCTTTGCATTTTGCTGGGGTTACCTGCCAGTGTGCATCCTACTGTGGACACTGTGATTTCACATTCTACACAGACGACCATAAAAACAGCTTGAACCTTGCTTCTGTGTAGCCAAGCACATCAAA